AGTCTCACAAACCCTGTGTGCCCCATAACACCCCAAGCCCATGCCCAGCTCTTGCCTGCCTGACCAAGCCCTGGGGAGCTTCCCCACGGGCCCTAGGAGGCAAGCCCTCTGCCCCCTCTGGGCAGCCTCTTGCCTGCCCAGCATCCCTCTGCACTGAGCCTTCTGCCTAACCACACCACCCAGACAAAGCACCCAGACAAACCACCCAGACGAACCACCCAGACAAATCCATTCATTCAGCCAGCTCAATGGAGGCAAATGTCTTCATCTGGCTTGAGTTACACAGATGGAGAATTTCAGTCATGCCCAGTAATGGTCATCAGAAAACCTCCGTGCTACCCTGCTCCCAGAGCAATGAGAGAGGTCACTCTCCAGTATGAGCGCCTCCTGTTAGCATCCCACACCTCAGCCTAAGGCAAACCCAGCCTGGCAGAGCTGAGCACCAGCCTCCCATGGCCTGGCCAGAGCCCAGAAACCAGGGACCAACTCACAGGTGCTTGGAGGAAAGCAGAGTGTCCTCTCTCTTGAGAGCAGAAGACATGATGCCATCTGTGCTGAAAGAGCTCCTATCTCACATACTCAATCGCCCTAAAACCTCACATCCAGAGATCCAAGGGTGCTGACCAACTCCCCAAACATGGGCCAACTCTCACAACACTGTCTGCCCACACTAGGAGTTGGGGTGGAAATCAAGCCATGTGCCATGACAGGCAAAGATGTTCATGAGGCCCCGGGAGGCCATTAGCAGAGAATGTGGTAGTGGACATGGAGGTGCCTCATAAGCCGTGGAGCCCACATAGGTGTGAGAAGCCAGAATCTGTTATGAAGGTGCCAGGATTCTAGCCTCACACTCCGCACAGCCCTGGGTGATTCCAGCTCAAAAGCCAAACTTAAAGTCTATGTCCAGGATCAGGGAAAAGCAAGAGCTGTGTAACTGGCAGGGATTTCTGCCCTCAAATCTCAGAAGTACAAGAAATAGCATGTTTAATTTTTGAATTTTGTTTAATAATATTGACTTCAAGCCTCCATTCCACCAGGCCGACAACAAACTCATTCTCAACTCACCCTCGGGCCTGTGTCAGGGTCAGACGTAGCACTGAGATGCTCCTCTGGGATCCACAGACATCCCATCCCTTTTCCCATTCTTTCTCACTGTTTCTAAGAGTTCCTCTGTTATGGATTGAATTGTGTCCCCAAAATAGATAAGTTGAAGTCCTAACTCCTGGTGCCTGTGAACATGACCTTGTTTAGAAATAGTCTTTGAAAATGTTATCAGTTGCATTAACATGAGGTCTTACTGGAATATAAGAAGCCCTGGTGACACAACAATTAAGTGTTCAACTGGTATCCAAAATGTTGGTAGTTTGAACCCACCCAGAAGCTCTGTGGGAAAAAGATGTGGCAATCTGCTCCCATAAAGATTACAGCCTAGAAAACTCTATGGAACCGTTGTACTCCATCAGATGAGGTAGCCATGAGTTATGATCAACGAGATGGCACACAATAACAACATACTAGAGCAGGGTAGGTCATAATTCCATTTGAATGGTCTCCTTGTAAAAGATGAAAGGACAGAGAGAGAATGTGACAACTTACCAACAAGCCAGGAAACTCCAAGGAATACCTGGGACCACCAGGAGCTAGAAGAAATAAGGAAGGATCTTCCCTGAGCCTTCAGAGAGAACATGTCTCAGCTGACATGTTGACTTGGACTTCTAGTCTCCAGAACTATGAAACAATAAATTTCTGTTCGTATAAGCCACCCAGTTTTGGTTTTTTGTTACAGCAGCACTAGGAAATGAATGCACTGTCCTCTCCTTACTCAGGGCACCAGGAGAAGGCTTCACTAGGCTCCCCTTCAGTGCCTCTGATCCAGGCTGCTTCTGCTTTTCTGCCCTACCCAGCCCCCAGGTCATGGGAACACAAGTGGTCATGGCCATCTGCTTGAAATCAGGGGAAAGGAAAAAGACACACATACATGCACAGACACACACACATAATTTTCAGTGAAATATCCTGCTCTGGTGGCAATGTAATTAAAGCATTGGGCTGCTAACCAAAAGGTCAGCAACTGGAACCCACCAGCTGCTGTGCAGGAGAAAGATGAGGTAGTCTTCTTCCACAAAGATTTACAGCCTGGAAATCTGATGGGGCAATTCTACTCTGTCCTATAAAGTTGCTATGAGTCAAATTCAACTCAATGGCAGTGAGTTTGATTTTTGGTTTTATCCTGCCTCAGATCTGATGTATGGTCAATCTCCTGCCTCTCCTCACAGGTTGGTCTTGGAATTCTTGAGGGATCTTGGGGTTGACTTTTGCAGGAAAGGGCAGTTCCTTATAATATGGTCACAGCAAAGTACCACCTCCATCACCTCCAAACCCAGCACAGAGCCTGATATGCAGTGGGTGAGAAGATAGAGATAAAAAAGAAATGTGATTTAAAATTGCAAATTTCTACCACCCATCTGTTAGTTTGTCTGCTGTGGTGGCTAATGTGTTGCTCTGACACTGAATGCTATCCCACCAGCATTTCAAATACCAGCAGGGTCATCCATGGTGGATAGGTTTCAGTGGTGCTTCCAGATTAGGAAGAAAGGCCTGATGATCCACTTCCAAAAATTAGACAATGAAAACCATATGGATCCCAACAGAACATTGTGCAATAGAGAGCTGGAAGATGAGCTCCCTAGGTTGGAAGGCAATTAAAATACAAAGTGGCCGCAACTATGGACTCAGCATACCAACAATCATGAAGATGGCACAGAACTGGACAACACTTCATTCTGTTATACATTTAAAAAAAAAAAAAAAACACCTCACCGTCGTCAAGTTGATTTCGACTCATAGCGACCCCTCCTTGGGTTTCCGAGGCAGTATCACTACGGAAGTAGATCACCCAGTCTTCCTTCTGAGGATTTGAACTGCCAGCCTTTTGATTAGCAGTCAAATGCCTTAGGCACTATGCCACTAGATATATATGAACTGGAGCTGACTCAGCGGCGACTAACAATAATACCGTATGCAATTTTACTTCTGCCCACCTTTTCCTCTGGCATCTGAGAAAGTGAGAGAATGTAAAGATAGTTAGACTCATAGGGTCTAGAGGAGGGGAGTGAAAATGGAGGCAGAGAAGGCAAAGGGGCCTCAGAAATGTTTTCAGCAAGCTCCAGGAGAGGTAGCAAAGATAGGGGCATTAACTGAGGCCTGAGGCCCCCACTCCAATAACATGAGGTAAAGCACAGATGAGAGGGGCCAGGGCCCAAAGTGGTCTTGGCACAATGAAGGTATGGACCTCTGACTGGGAAAAGGGCTGGCTGCGTCTCAGGTCACTCAGAGCTCTTTCCTTCTTCAACATCATGGTCACTCAGGTCTCAAACGCTGGCGTGGGGTAGAGGGGTAGAAGGCAGAGACAGGATGACCTGCATCATAAATTCAGAAAGACTTGAACCATGAAGGTGGAGGACTGAGTATGGAAAAAATGTGTGTCTGTGTGCACATTATCTGCAACAAATCATGACACATTTATAAGCATCTCCCTGAAACTGAGGAAGGGAGACACAAAAGGTTCTAGTGAGAAAAGGGATAGTAGCTGGATACTATAGTGCCTGTTATTATTGAATTTAAGCATCTCCAAGGTTGGGCAATCTACTTCTGTAGTGATACTGCCTCGGAAACCCAAGGAGGGGTCACTATGAGTCGGATCCAACTCGATGGGAGTGAGAATACCATGTTTATGGTGTTGGCCAAGAATATTACCAAAGACTACTAGAAGAATGAACAAATCTGTCTTAGAGGAGGTGCAGCCAAGACAGTGCACCTTGGAAGCAAAGAAGGCAAGAGTTCATCTCACATACTTTGAACATGTTCTCAAGTGGGATCAGTCCCTGCAGGAGGACATCAAGCTGTCAAGCAGAAGGTCAGCATAAAACAGGAAGACTCTCAAAGAGATGGATTGACACAGTGTCTGTAATAATGAGCTCAAACATGGCAATTATTGTGAGGATAGCACAGGACCAGGCAGTGTTTTGTTCTGTTGTACATATAGCATCACTATGAGTCAGAACCAACTCAATGATACCTAACAAAAACAACCAACAAAACATTACCATGGTAGGTCTTTATTTGGTGTGTTGTCTATGCTGTTTTATTTTGTTATTGTTAGCTGCCATCAAGTCCACCCCGACTCACGGCAACCCCTATGCATAGTGGGATAGTATGCTACCCAGTCCTATGCCATCCCCATAATTGCTTGCTGATGAGACTGTTGTGGTCCATAGTTTTCATTGGCTGATCTTCAGAAGTAGATCACCAGGCCTTTCTTCCTAGTCCATCTTAGTCTGGAAGTGCCTCTGTGACCCATTCAGCATCATAGCAACACACAAGCTGGCACTGACAAACAAGAGTACACGAGGTACATTGGCTGGAAATCAAACCTGGCTCTCTGTCATAGAAGGCAAAAATTCTACCACTGAACCACCACAGCCCAGATCATTTTATTTAAGTAAATATTAAAAAGCATTGATCAGAGCTTTTGTAAAATCATTCCCACCTTCTGCCTTGTTTTTCTCATAAGTCTGAAGTTTCTCAGCTGCAAACTCTTCTACCTCAAGAGCCTCCAGGTAGTAAGAACTTTTGACTGGAGAAGGACTGCTGTAAGAACAGGTGGGCAGGTGTTCCTGTGAATGAATAAATGAACAGATGATTGGATAACTGAATGAATGAATGAGTGAGGCATGAGGAATGCAGGAAGTGGGGGGACAAGGTCAGAGGAGCAAGACCTCAGTAGCTCCAGAAGAAAGGGGAATCTCCCTTTTCTCCCGCACCCCACCAGCTGGCAGGGCATGGTGAGAAGGCTGCCCCCAAGATACTAGTACATGGTGAACCCACATGTGTGAGCCGAGCAAGCCCTTAAAGTTGGAGTGAGCCAGCCACCAGCAGGCTGAGCCAAGCCCACTGGCTTCCCTTCTCAACAAGAATGTCTGCCTTGTCTTCTTGCTTAGGTCCCCCTGGACGGCGTGGCAAGCCTGGACGAAGAGGCGATCCTGGTGAGTCCAGGTTTTCTCATTTCCTAACCTGAGGCTGGGAATCTGCATTGACCTGGGACTTGATGGAGGTGCTGGACCCCGCCTCCCCAGTAGTCATGACATTCAGTCCTAGGTCAAGACTTCTTCTCACTTCCAATTCCAGCCATTGTCCCTGGAGCCACAGAACCCAGCATGGCTTTTTGTGGCTCCTTGACATCCATGATTTCAGGGACTGTCCCCTCAATATCCTCAGCCATTCCTTGCAGCTTACTATCTACTGTGGAAACTTCAGTCCCAGTCCCCTCTCTGAGTCTCTGTACTGAATCCCTCAGTACATGTACCAGTTCATCTGGGTGTCTCCTCTCCCTCCCCACACTTGGCCCATTCTCCTTTCTAGAGAACAGAACCACCAGGAGAAGACTCTTGCAACTTCTTCCATATGACCTGTGCTCACTCATACTGGCCTCCCCTTTTCCTCCTGCCATCTTCTTCCATCTTGCCCTGGGACCCGCTCTTGTCCACCCTGACTTCAGCTGTACCTGAGTTTCCCCTCTTCACTTCACCTTTTTCCTCTTCCTGAAAAAGTCCTCAAGTCTGTTCCCCCCCCCAAAAAAAAAAAAAGAACTTCCTTTGTACATGCCCCCATAGTGCTCTCTTTCCCTCTGCCCTGCAGAGCAGCTTTCCTGAGGAGGCATCTACCTTTCTCCTCAGCTCTGCCCTCCACTCAGCCACAGCTACCCCAACCTCTTTACCTCTAATTTCACTGGGAATGTCCCAACCAGAATCAACAATGGCCTCCACTTGACCACACCAACAAGCACTTCACTATCTTTGTCTTTCTTTTTTTCTTCTTATTGTAGTAAAATTATATATAACAAAACATTTGCCAATGCAACATTTTATCCATGCACAAAGTGACATCAATTTTATTCATCATGTTGTGCAAGTATCACCATTATCCTTTTCCAAATTATTCCATCTCCCTGAACATAAACTCAGTGCCCCTTAAGCAATAACTGCCCCTTCCCTCCCCACCTCTGGTTACCACTAATAAATGTTGGTTTCTATGTATTTGCCTATTTCATATAAATGGATCATATAAGATTTATCTTTTTGTGACTGACATTTCACTAAGCATAATGTTTTCAAGGTTCATCCATGCATAGCATGTATCATAATTTCACTTCTCTTTATGGCTGAATAATATTTTGTTGTGTATATGTACTCCATTTTAGTTTATCCATTTAACTGTTGATGGACACTTGGGTTTTTTCCACCTTTTGGCTATTGTGACAAACACTGCAGTGAACATTGATGTACATGTGTCTGCATTCTTGTCTTCACTCCTTTTGGGTATGTCTTTTTCTTCTTGACCTTCATTATTGGCTGCTCCCTCCTTCCATGATCTTGTGGCCCAGATTTCCTCCCACATCACTGTCCTCTTCTTCTCTGCATTTTTATAGGGCCCTACTGGCCCCTTGGGAGCTCTGGTGGCATAGTTCCTAAGGCATTTGACTGCTAACCAGAAGGCTGGCAGTTCAAAGCCACCAACCAGTCCTTAGAAGGAAGATTGGGCAATCTACTTCCGTAGTGATACCGCCTCAGAAACCCAAGGAGGGGTCGTGATTAGTCAGATCCTCCTTTATACCCACAGTCTCCCAGTCCTGTGGAGTCAGCTATCCCCATGACACCAACAACACCCACCTCCCTGCCTCCAGCTCAGTCCTTCCCTCTGGGCCTTGCTGGCTGGACATAACCCACCCCCAAAACCCTTCAAGACCCCAACCTACTCTCCTCGCAGGGAGCAGACCTTCAGCCAGCAGACCCCTGGGCATCATCCTGGGCCCCTCCCCTCCCACTTTCCACACCAAGTCCTAGTAAGCCTCCTCCTAGATACATCTCCCACCCTTGTCCCCTTCTGTGTCCCCACCACCACAGCCCCCTGTAGCACTCTGTGCCCCCAGCCCCCTCCTCCAGCCTCATGCATATCCATGGTCGCTTCACCTCTCAGAAGAGCCTTTAGTCTTGTGTTCACCCCTACCCAAAATATCTCCGCCTCCACTCTGACCCTGAGTTCATACTTTTTGTCCTTTGAGCCTCACTCAAGTATCCCCTGCAAAAATCCCTCTCTAACTCTCTGGCTAGAGGGTATCAGCCTGATTCTACAGCTTCCAGCACAGAGCCTGTCATGGAGTGGGCATAAATCAGAGAATGAATGAATGAACACATCGGTCCTACTTAAACCTATTGCCATTGAATCAGTTCTGACTCATAGTGACCTCATGTGTTGCAGAGTAGAAATGTGCTCCATAGGGTCTTCAATGGCTGTAATCCTATGGAAATACATCATCAGGCCTTTCTTCTTCTGGGTGCATGCAACTGCCAACCTTTTCATTGGTAGCCAAGTGCAGACTATTTGCACCACCTAGGAAACTTCACAAGGAGGGGGATGTAGTGAAGTCATATGGACTCAGAGATTCCAGGGCAGGTTCTCATGGAACCTCTGAGCCTTCCTCCTGGGGTCAGGCTTCTTGCTTTTTGATCAGCTTCTTGTTCCTTGTATACTCAACCAAACTCACTGCCATTGAGTCAGATCCAACTCATAGTGACCCCTCCTTGGGTCTCCAAGGCAGTATCTCTACAAAAGTAGATGGCCCAATCTTCCTTCCGAGACCGTCCAAATAATCTACCTAGAATTCACTGGTAGCAACACTCCTCCTTCATGTTTCTCTTTGTGCTGTGATTTCCAAAAGCTAAGCCTATTTTGTGTTTGGCCACTAGAGCTCCTTTAGTCTGGGTTGTGTGTGTGACATCCTTCTGCACCACCTCACCTCCAAACACACATGTCATCACTCAGTTCTTGTTTTCTACCCTCATAAAAGTTTTTATTGCCTTTTACTGTAAGCTCCTGACAGCTTTTTGGAAGGATATGAAGAATATATAGTAAAAATATAGTAGTTTTTTTAGAACAAGGTATGAAATTATTCAATTTACTCAACGTACTCAAAAACCCCATTAGAATGATGACTCCAGTTTACAGTAAGACAAGGAATTATGGAATTCCTGGAATTGTGCTGAGTCCCTTCCTGTCCTTCATGATTCGAATGTATTATTATCCCCATTTTGCAAGTAAGGAAACTGAGGCTCCTAGGGAAGAAGTATCTTATCTAAAGTCAGCTGCTGGGAAAGGTGTGGGCAGTACCTCCTCCCATTTGCTGCTCTTTCTCCTGTAGGTGTCCTAAATTTTCTGTCTGTCAGAGAATGGTGTGACCAGCAAAGAACAGACATCTGTCCTTGATTGGCTTTGGCTGGGCCTGGTGTTTGTTTCTAGATAGTTTCACACACATGCACATCCTGACTTCAGCTCCTTCCCTTGTGCGAACCAGGCCTTTTCCTGTCCCAGCTGAGCCCAGGGAGAAAGGCTCATTTTTGCCCCGATGGGACAATATTTACCTGAGATGCCTTTAGCAGCTGCTCCAGGCACACATATAGGACTGACTCTGCCTGCTTGTGGGAGGCAGATCTTCTCAAGCTCCCAGTGGAATTCTTTGTCTGGAAATGCTTCATGGCCCTGCATCTCTATCTGTAGTGGAATGGATTTCTCACCACCATTCTTGTCTGTTTCTCACCTCCATTCTTGTCTGTTTCTCACCTTGGGAAGGCAAGTGGCTGAGCCAATGGAGCCCAGCCCTGTCCCGGAACTCTGGGATCCTCTTTCTAGCATTGTTGGGCCAGATCCTTTTTCCTCCAAGACCCTACCTCCCCCAAAAGAGTCCAGCCCTCTATCTTGGCTCCCACAGCCTCAGACACCTCTCTGTGTCCCAGCATTTTCCCCACCTGGTGTGATTATCTGCAAACTTGATTTATCCTCCCCCAAAGCATGAACTCCTCAGGGAAGGGCTGTGTCTGGATTCCTAGGTTCTTAGGAGATAATAAAGTCTTGGTGAGAGGAAGGAGGAGAAGAAAGGGAAGAAAGAGAGAGAAAGACATGATGGCAAATGAAAGAATAGAGGGAGGGTCAGGAGGCACATGGAGTCAAGGATGAGGCTATGAAATGCTGATTGGTCAATACCTGTGCTGAATATACAGAGACAAATGGAGGAGTTGTCTAGATCTCTGCAGCTTCTAGCCTTTCATCAAGAGTTTTAATGCTGGGCTTTTCTTTGGTCCACCAAGAAATCCTTTTTGTAAATTCAGTGGAAGAAGTTCTTCTGGAATGGTAGAGTAAGGGCCTCCAAAAATCTTTTCCTCCATAAAAGTAATGAGAACCCTGGGAAAATCAACTTTTTTTAGAACTCTAGAAATTAATGAAAGGCCTATGATAACCTGAAGAGCATTTGTTGAAGAAATATCACTGAGTCTTGGTAAGATCAGCAAGCTTTGTAGCATTTTAACTTCCTGTAATCCCATTAACTAGCTCCACAGTAGCCTTGAAAACCAGCAGACTAGCAGCCACTGGAGGAGTTAAAAGAAGTTTGGAACTCCCCAAATGCTCATCCTCAGAGAATTATCAGTATTTGTCTTCTTGGCAGCTACCTGGAAAAACCCCATTTATAGGATTTGTCTTTATTTGACCTGACACAAAGCTCAGTAAGTGGGAAAAGCACTATCCCCAGGGCACTTGCCAAAAACAGCAGCAATTGTTTCCTTTCACAGCTGCCAGAGATAGCAAGAAAACAAACCAAACACACTGCCACATCTGACTCATAGCAACCCCTCCTTGGGCTTCCAAGGCAGTATCACTATGTAAGTAGATTGCCCAGCCTTGGCATCACTATGGAAGTAGATTGCCTAACCTTCCTTCTGAGGAGTGGCTGGTGGATTTGAACTGCCAGCTGGCTGGTTAGCAGTCAAATGCCTTAGGCACTATGCCACCAGAGCTCCTAGAGATAGCGAGAGGCTGACTCAAAAAATTAAAAAGAAAACCTAGGGAATGAAATATCCAAAGAGGCTTTTAAAAGTGCTAACATATTCCTAGGAATCTAAAAGGTACATACATGTAGAGAGCTACATGCATGTCT